CCCCGCCGCTCCACGGAGCCGGCGCCCTTCGCCTTGGCGCATCGCGGATCCGGGGCGACCGCCTCCTCCTCCTGCACCGAAACCCCCGGTGAGGGAGGCACGGTCTCCGCGGGGCAGACTCGGGGCGGGGGCGGCCGGTGGCTCGGAAAGGCGCACGGAAGAGGAGAGGGGTGATCCCTCCCGCGGGGATGCGAGTGTCGTGCCCCCGCTCCTTTGCCCCCGACACACACGGCACCCCCGCGATGGTTCGGGAAGCTCCGGGGCAAGGCGAAACGCATGTCCCGAGACACCCGGAAAGGACTATCGCGATCGCGACCGGCAGGCACGGAGAGGGAGGGGAGAGGGAGAAGGAGGAAGGAGGGGGGGACACACATGCCGTTCCCTCACGGGAGATCATGAAGTTGTGGGGACGAAAGAGCCGCAGTGAGTAGGAGAAAAGTCCCCGTAAACCGAAAAAAAAAAAAAAAAATTAAAATCCAAGGAATCTCCGCAAAGTGCTTTCCCCCCTCCCTTCTCCTCTCCTCCCAGTCCCGGATGTTTTCCGGGAGGCGCTACCCGCCCCGCTCGGCGCCGCTCTCCCGGCGGGCAGCTCCCGGCCAGGGCTCAGCGGCGGGGAGGGAGCGGGACGGCGGGGGGGGGTCCCGAAAAGAAAGGAGTTGCACTAACCGGGGTTGAGGTCCAGGCACTGAGTCGGGTCTTCATTGTCCCCTAGCTGGCCATTGGGGCTGAGGCTTTCCATGGACAAATCCAGCCCCTTGTCCTCCCAGTCTCGCAGTTTCCTCTTTTTATTTGTCCCAATCAAGGCTTCTACCGAGAAAGCGTGCGCTCGGGAGCTGAGGGCCACCGCCGATCTTCGCCTCTCACTCATCTTATCCCCTCGCCCAGACCCTTGGGCACATGAGGGGCCAGTGGCTGGGAGCGCAGAGCTCGGGGACCAGAGGCAGAGCCTCTCGCCTCTTTCTCCCCCCACCCCTCCCCAGCTGCACCCCCAGAAGAACCAGCCCTCAGTCTCCTGAAGGCGCTACATGAGGCTGCAGATACTCCGTAGGCAGAGCCGGGAGGGTGTGCTCAGCCCAGGTCCCCAGCACTTGCTCAGAGGGGCTGCAGGCTGGATTTCATCTTTTTTTTTTTTTTTTTCTTCTCCCCTTTCCTTCTGTCTCTCTCTGATTGATCCAAACTTCTGGGATTTTTTTTTTTTTTCCTCCAAGAGTTAGGCAGGCTGCGTGCGCCTGTCAAGGAAAAAATTATGTCATAATTTTTCTTGCCTGAAGTGCCTCGTATTCATTGTATAGGAATCAAAATCCTAAGCAGTTCAGGTGATGAATAGATTTCCCTGTGACAATGAAGTATATTTTATTTTAGACTTTTAGGCCAGCTTCCTGCCACTTCATAACAAAAATATGATTAATGATACGTAAAATTCGTATTTTAGAATAGAAATAAATTGGGCCATTGCAGCATTTCTGTCTATCTGAGGAAATTTTGTTCTGTCATTGCTTGACAACATAATTTTACAGAATAAAACAACGCTTTATACCTACAGAATTTCACTTCTGTGTTAAAATACCTTTTTTACTGCAAAATGGTGTAGGAAAGGCTTGAATTTAGGAAAAGATTAATAGATTAGATAAGCTCTTTCTAAAAGAATATGCCAAGGCACTTTTTGCAGATTGAATAGCAGTAGGCATAATCTTATTTTAAATAAAAAATAAATAAATGGATGAATAGAGTTTATTTTCACACAGGACTACGAAGAGCAGATTTTTTTTGGTGAATAGGAAAAAAACCAGTTTTAGCAATTACAATGAATTCACAGAAATCTGCAGTAAAGGAAATCATTAAAACATTATATCAGCCAAATACATTTGGCGAGTGTGCATATACATAATAAAAAATACTTAAGACTTGGTGTAGAGATTTTTTACCCAGATATCTCAGAGCTTTCTGAAGACAGGAAATATCATTTTGCGGGGGAGCAAGGGAGACAGAAAGCAGTGAAGTGACTTTCAAGGGATCTATTGGTCAAAAAGCAGAGGATGGAAAACAGTTGTCCTCACCTGAAGTCTGGTCTTATACACTGGACTTAAAATACGGCTTAAAAATACAGCGGTGGAATTTTTTTGGCCATGAAAGACTGATAGATTGCAATATGGCAACTCTGACCCTGGTTTCCAACTAATGCTGCTTTTTCTGGGACTTGAAACTGCTTCTTTTTGCTGGAGGAAGAATTCGCATTCACAGGGAAAAAGGAGTAACTAATGAATGGTGACGAAAGGACAACAAATGAGCTTGCTTTGGGGAGCTTACTTTGACCAACCTTTGGACAGCCCTTCCAATTCTATTTCACACGATTTGATGGGATCACAGTAAGACTGACAGTGCCTGTTAGAATCAAACTCTGAAAGTGACAGCTCTGTGGACAGACTGCAATGCAGGTGAACGATGCATTAAAACTATGAGTTGTCACAAGTCTTCACGATTTATCAGGACATATCCATTGCATTTCTCTTTTGTTTCGATTTCATCTTTTTTTTTTTTTTTTTTCTTCTCCCCTTTCCTTCTGTCTCTCTCTGATTGATCCAAACTTCTGGGATTTTTTTTTTTTTTTTTCCTCCAAGAGTTAGGCAGGCGCGGGGCGCCCGTCAAAAAGGGGGAAAAAAAAATACTGTCCCCGGCCAATAGGAGGAAGAGATCGGGAGAGACCCAAAAGCTGCGACCCAATGGGGAGGGGAGGGAGACTCGGGCTTCGGGGCGAGGAATTTTGGCCATCTGAGTCCTGGAGCACCGATCGGGAGAATTAACTGTTTGAAGAACGGGGAGCCATTAGGAAACCCATAGCTCTAAATGCAGAGAGGTAACAACTCCCGCACATCTCGCCGCCGCACCCAGGTTTCCCAGGGGCTGCTGCCAGCTAATCCCCACGCAAAGTACCCGAGAGGGGCTTTACCTCCCAGGGGTGCCGGGTTGAGGGGGTGCTTTTAAAACGTCATTCATGCCATCTATTACTGGCGCTTGCCGGCGGAATCGGTGTTTGGCCCGGCAACAGCAACGTCTCGGGCGGGGGGGTTGAAGTTTCACTTCCAAACGATGCGTGTCCGTGGAGCGGCGGGGCTGAGCGGGCGGCGTGGGCTGGCGCCGACATCGGGGCAAATAGATCCAGACACCCGCGGGCAGGGGAGCGCCTTCTGTTTGAGAAGGGGGACATATGGACATATATATATATATTTCTTTGCCCCCCCCCCCCGGTTCTTTTTGCCACTTTAGCTACAGCGAGAACAAACTCGCTAGGTAGAGATGTCGTAGAGATTCCGACCGGTTGCCTGGATGATACTCAGCATTTTCTTTCTGCTCGCCTGCTCACTCGGCCCCGAAACCCTCCAGGTCTGAGGGGGGTCCGCAGCTGCTCCCACGCTCCTCGATCGTGCGTGGCGCAGGGGGGGTCCCGCAATGAAAAGGAACGAAGGCTGCATTTGCCAAGGTGAAGGAAGCACCGCGTGTGTTCATTAGCTTATGGGACCACGGAAAAATAGGTGAAGTCAAGCGAAACACCGTCTAGGGGAAACACAGCGGGGAAAGCCGCCGGGAATTAATTCGATCCTGAGGATCGAATACAAATTCAAAATAAGCAATAAATAATTATAAAGTAAGGGAGGGAACTAATATGAATCGAGCCACGGTGGAAAAGCGGGCGAGGATACACACCAAATTTCAGGAGGGGATTATTTGTGGCTGGTGTTTCTCCGATGCTCCCCGAAGGCGCAGAGCTGCTTCTAGCGGCGCCGGAGGAGAGCGAGATTTTTCTTAAGGTGAGGTTTTTCGACGGAGCTGGACACAAGTGAAGAGGGCAGGCGTGGGAGGGCAGCTCCTTTAGCTACCAGTGTGACCCCACGATGCCCCTGTCTGCTCAGGACGGCGAAGCCCTTCAGCCCCCTCTCCCCGGCCTAAAGCGCTGGCTCTCGCAGGCGGGACAAGAGCCCGACGGGCTCCACACGCACGGAAAAGGCTTTCGGAGGAAAAGCGAGAAAGAAGCCGTTTCGTCGGGAAACCTCGAAAAAGCTAAGCCCTGTTTATCTAGGCCGAGGAGCAGGTTTTGTGCGTCTCCATCACCCGCCCTACACCCACTCGCACCCCCCTCCCCGCCGCTCCTTTCCCCTCCCCTCTTGTACATCGCCTTTGACAGGTCACTTGCTGAGGGTTCAGCGCCGGGCCCAGCCAGCGGTACTGCCACACGCCCCACTCCCCGACTCCGCGGGGAGCAGCGCCGGAGCGGGAGCAGCGGGAAGAAGGGAGCGACAGAGACGGGAGCTTGGAGAGAGCCGGCAGTTGGACTGACCGAGGAGCGGGGACCCGGAGGGGGCACATGTCTTTCCAGCGGGTACCCCGACTGCGTGTCCTTCCCCCGGAGAAGGAATGTCTCCAAAAAAAAAAAAAAAAAAAATCCGTTTCCCTATTTCCGAAAGTCTCGGAAACACTCGTCTGGGAGACAGATACCGAGAAAAGCTTTTAAAGAAGCTGGAGGGAGATTTTAGAAAGAGAGCCCAAGAAAACAGAGGATTATTTATAGCGTTTTAGCGAGAGGAAATGGTGTTGGAAAGGCAGGGCGACTCAAACGAAATTTGGGAGCTGATGTAAGAGCTCAGAATTACGTTTTCCACGGCGTTAAGCGCGTTTTTAGGGCTCGACAGTTTAAATCAGCCCCGACCCCTTTTGGGTCTCTTACCTAGGGGCACTCCGGGCTGCCGCCCCAGGTCTGTGAGCCGTGTCAGACCACCCCGCGCCGGGCCCTGCCAGCGGGACTCTGCCTCCACAGCACCAAGCAGAAACACAGCGGTTTTTCCGTGCCAATACGGCCCCTAATTGACAGACCCCAGGGAGCGGACCCTTTTGCCAGGGACGGGAGAGAGAGCAGCTCCCCGCGGTCCCGGGCAGCGGTGTCCGGGGGCGCGGGGACACACATCCGCTGCCGGCCGCCCCTCTCTCC